TGACTATTAAAGACTGAGGCAAAGAAGGCATTAAGTACCTCTGCCTTCTCCTCATCCTTCGTGGCAAGGTTACCTTCTGCATCCAACAAAGGAGGGAGATTCTCCCTGGCCCTCCTTTTGTCACTGACATATTTATAAAAACTTTTTTTGTTGTCTTTAATGTTGGTGGCCAGTTTAATTTCCAGCTGGGCCTTTGCGTTTCTGATCTTCTCCCTGCATATCCTCACAACATCCTTGTAATCCCCCTGAGTCGCCTGCCCCTTCTTCCAAAGGCGGTAGGCTCTCCTTTTTTTTCTGTGGCCAAAGCTCTCTGTCCAGCCAGGCCGGTCTTCTCCCCTGCCTGCTCGACTTGCGGCACATGGGGACAGCCTGCTCCTGCGCCTTTGAGGTTACCTCCTTGAATAACATCCAGCCTTCCTGGACTCCTTTGCCCTTCAGGACTGCCTCCCAAAGGAGGGTGTTTGTGCATTTAGAAGGCATTAGATCAAATTAAGCACTTGATATCAAGTACCAGTCTACAAATCCTGAAAATAAAAGCAGTCAGGAGTGTTGCATTGCAGTGATTTGGATTTGGTATATGGTAGTTTTAGCAGAACAGCAGTAATTAGTGTCATGATTGTCCCTTCTAAGATACAAAGGATTGTAGCATAGTCTGAATGGAGACACCAATTATGAAGTTATTAGAGTTGACTTGTTTTTTCTTTAAGATATAGATGTAGGAGGGTTGACAGTTACCAGGTAAATGTCTTGTCCCAAACTAAGACTTTAATTTCTCTTGAGCTGTATAGGTAGTAGTAATAAGGCTGAACTCTGATCTTTTGATTTGAATGTTAGTTTAGTCCAAGGGTCAGGAACAGATCAGCATCAAGAGCTGTTTACAAGCTGAATTGATAAGGTTGCTTGGTAAACTGGTATGGCTGGATCTTGATGTCTTATTCTTAGAGGTTTTAACAGAGTAAGCCAAGAGGTTCTCATGAGATATTCTCCCCCCCCCCGCTTTGTTCCTGGTCTGCCCTCTTCCCCAGTTTGCCTTTAATGACGCTTAGATTAAGGTTGTGGGTTAGGATTTTTGCATAAAATAGGCTCAAAGTTAACAGTATGATACTTGATGAAAGCATGTTAATGAATCATGGCTATTTGCTATTTAAGGGTATTCTTTCTCTTTTTTTTTATAGTTTGAGGGTGGCTCTGGATATGGTAAGTTTTTATAGAGAACTTTGACATGACACTTCATTTAGTCAGTAAGAGGCTTGATGCATACATTTAAATCAGACTATTCTTACACAGGGGGCCGTGGTTCATATGGAGATCTTGGTGGACCCATCATCACAACACAAGTAACGATTCCCAAAGATGTAAGTGAAGCTGGCTTGCTTTCCACTTGTGTTTAAATAAATAAATAAATAAATAGAAAACCACAGCCTTTTCTCCGACTATGTAAGTAAATCAAAAGTATTTGGGATGCTTGACAAGTACTTTTAATATAAAGCAAGTGTTTCTAAATCACCAAAAGTTTATTCTTAAGGATGTTTGTTTTGTCTTCACTTTAGAGATGCACTGAACTATTTTTTTAATTGTTAGTATTCAGTAATAGAGATGGTCTACATAACTTGTTTTTACAAACAAGCATCTGGTTCTTCCAACTTTATCCCACCTGTGTTTATATAATAAACGTTACAGAGGATGTTTTGAGGCTGTAAAAGAGTAAGCTTCCATTGCAGCTCTTAAAACTAAATTGATGGAAGCTACTTGAACAGTACTGTGTTTTTGCAGAGAAAGTTATATCAAGAAATGAATGCTTTATTTTCTCCCCTAGTTGGCAGGATCTATTATTGGAAAGGGAGGCCAGAGAATCAAACAAATACGTCATGAGTCAGGAGCTTCAATCAAAATTGATGAACCACTAGAAGGCTCAGAAGATCGAATAATAACTATTACGGGAACACAGGACCAGATACAAAATGCTCAGTATTTACTGCAGAACAGGCAAGTTGAAGCTTAATGCTGTCCTTACTGTCAATTTTAAACTGACTTTCCTACTACTACATTCTAAAGTTGTTCTTCTCTGCAATATAGTTTTTAGAAGGCAGGATTTAAGTAACTATTGAACCTAACTTCTCCAGTAGTAGTTCTGCCTTTTCTCTGTTCTAACTAAAATGAAGATTCCCTCAAAACTAATCTTGATGGAAGACACCTTAACCAAGCAGTCCTCTCATTTCTCTGGTGAAAATTGCTGCAAAAAAACCTACTTGTAATAAATTACATAGAACCTGTAGAAAATATAGAAGATTTCAGTGGACGTTGGTTTAGTTCTGTGTGGAAGACTAGTGATTTTGTTGTTTTTAGATAACTTAACTGACAACAAATCACAGTCTGCCATATGGCACAGACCATGCCTCTACAGGACAAGTTGAAATCAATTGGTGCTGTTATGCAGCATTTCACATCTTGCTGGCATTACTTTCTCTTCTGCCAAATATTAACAGTTTCGGACTTAGTTTGCTTAGTTTTGCTTTAATAACATGTTGGCTATCATAGCATTTGTTAATGTTTAACTTGAATGTTTGGCTTTAGATTACTGATATTTAAATGTGCTTAAAATAATTATATGCCTATAATTATTAGCCATTAATCTTTTTAAATTATTTAGTTTTAAATGTATTGGGAATTTGTAGTATAATCTTTAAGAATGCCATTATGACTTGATGCAAGATGTATGGTCAATCATTCTAATACATGTTTTTTTCTTTTTCTTTTATAGTGTGAAGCAGTATGCAGATGTTGAAGGATTCTAATGCAAGATTATTTTTTCTTTTTTATAGTGTGAAGCAGTATTCTGGAAAGTTTTTCTAAGACTAGTGAAGAACTGAAGGAGTCCTGC